CCAGACCTTCAGACTGACGGCAGAAGGTCTGGAAACCTTGGCCGATTTGAATGGTCAAGGCCCGCCCAAGAGGCCATATAACTGACAGGTAAAGCAACCAATCACGTTTCGTTTTTGCCGCGTCATGTTTATGGCCATGGAAATCTCGCCACAATAACAAGATGGTCCTCACTGCAGAACACAAGATCCAGGGGGCATGGTTGGATCCAGATCCAACTCCTCCCACCTTACATATACCTAAACCTACCCGTCTCCACCCCCTGATCCCTAAACCCACCCATCTCCACCCCTAAACCTACCAATCTCCACCCCCTAGATGTGGATCCAACCACGCCCCAGAGTTTAATTGATCCTGATAAGCGCTCATCGTCACAATTGTAAACACGACGGCTTTCTTCTTTGATGAGGGGGTTTGACATCACGGCATTTATGTTTTCAGGCAGAACGTTAAAGAACGCGACATACACATCTCCCAGAAATCCTGTATAATTTAACCAATCCGACGACGACTTCGAAACTCTTGGAAGTGTTTCCAGCTAAACGTTCCATATGCATCAGACGTTCAGCCAGCGGTCTGTGGGTGTGACGTCTGAGGCTGAGACTATGTCTGTATCAAAACATTTTGAAAATTTTAAAGGTTTGCCGCTAGGGGGCGGTCTATTTACCCATTAACCAGTGTCTATATGGTGTTTACCTGATCTCAGATCAGCTTTATAATATAGATATTTTTAAATATTTTAATTACATTGTATTAAACATTTATATAATGACAAACCCTCTGAAGATTTTAGCATAATGGATATGACAATGTTAATGTATTTGGTCTTGGTGGAATAGATCTGCTACGCTGCTGCTGCTGATGGTTATTGCTGTTGTTGTAAATTATTGCTGCTGCGAAGCAAGTACAGGAACTTGCTACTGCCAATACATACGCTAATACGGTGCTGTGAGTATTTAAGACATACTGCTGCTGCACAAATAGCATATGTAATAACCTGTAGCAGATCTATACAGGTGGAGCTGGGGAAGGTGGAGGGTTTCAAAGGAACTCTGAAAGCGCGCTGCAAACTGCTCTAATGAATGCTAAACAGATATTTAAATGTAAAGCAGCAAGCTCATTGGCTGCTTATGCAACATGAACCAATCAGTTTGTGCCAAGTAGTTTAACGCTGTGAATATCATCAATTTGCATTACCAACCCATCAGCCTGTGCCATCTAGAGTTTCATGTAAGTCGCTTTGGATAAAAACGTCTGCTAAATGACTAAATGTAAATGTAAATGACAGAACTTGGCATTTGTATAATATAACAAGAAGAGTCGTAGTTAAATTTCCCTTATTGGCCTGGTTAGCCGAGCCCTCCATAAAACACACAAAACAAGCCCTATAAGTTCATAAAAGAACACATTATACAGACACTTCCTGTTTAATAATATTTTATGATTTGTAGATTGCATTTAATAGATTAGCCCTATACTTTCAGAAAAAAAAAAAAAACATTTGCAGTTGGTTTTAAAAAGGTGATTTATGCACCATTTTGACCAGCAGGTGATGCCAGCATGTGGTGTTTCAGCACTTCGAAACAGTGAATCATTGTGCAAAGCAACTAATTTGAGTTTCGAAACTCTCAGTTTCTCCCCTCACGTTACTATTACCTACATAGAAAATGGCTGCCTGGGGGCGACACCAAGATGGCCACCGAGGGAACTACGGAACACAACAACCGTATCTTTTCGATTGCGGCACCTCGCCTCTGGAATGACCTGCCACTGGAAATTAGATGTTGTACATCACTAGGTCATTTTAAAACACTTTTAAGAGGGCACTTACTTGCCCGGACATTTGATATGAGATAGTTGGTGTATATCTGATGGTCTTGTTTGTTTATGTCATGTCGTTTTTATGTTCTTGTTGTTTTAGTTTTGGTTATATGTTGTTTTATTGGAAAGCACACACATTTGAATTTGTGCTAAATGAGAGAAGTAAGTGAACCCGTGTACAACACATTTCCCACACATCGGTAGCGTCTTTTTTTTTTTATGCTTGGCGTTTATAATAAACATCATTTATAATGAATTCCACTTTAATTTATGTTTGTTTTATACTTATATTTTTCATTCTTGTTCTAAATAACGTAAATTTTAAAAGATTTGTTGTGGAGTGAGGGAAACTAAAATACTTATAGTTTCTAAAGTTTGTAAATGTTTTATTTACTGTTTTTACATACTGAATGTAATAATAAAACGTGATATACAAAGATGCAACTTTTCTGTGTTTGTTTTTCCTCTCTACAATGTAATCATGACCCAGTGTGACTTATTTTCCAGAAAATATGTTACACAGTTTAATCAGTCTCAAACTAATCAAGGTTTTTATTGTTTTTACTTTTAGAATAGGATTCCTGTATTACGTGCTCATGGATATAAAACACAATATCCTGTTTTATGTTCGGCCTCACAGCAGACGGCCTATGAGTTAATTCTTCCCGCCCCCATGCAATCGTTCATTTACATCAATCAGTGGTGACGTACATCAATTAATCTTTCAATTATATGGATTACATTACACAATTCAACCCGTCCATTATCTGCCAAGAGTAAAGATCAGGGGAAATGTGTCACCACTGGTTGTGTATGAGTAGACACAGACACTCCCAGAGTCAGTGAGTATCACCTGCTTCAGCGCCGTCACACCATCCAGTCCTGTCACATCACATTCATTTCCTCCTGTTGCTGATTCACTAAAGATTTTTTTTTTTTGCCTTGCGAGCTGACACACAGCCAGGAATCTATTTAGCCATCTGGACAGTTTATGTTCAATTACTTGTGTCATATATTCGTTTGCACCAGTGACCAGATCTGTCAGATTAAAATGAATTAGCATGACACTATTAATTGCTAAACACTAGGGATTTGAAGAATCCCCTAACCCCAAGTATTACATTTTGTTGCATAACTCATTCCAGACCAACCAATGGTTCATTTACCAAAAGCATCATTAGCCAACTATGGTCGCAAGTTCCATCAGCAATATATAGTTCCATGATCCGGTGTTTCCTGAAACCACATTCTCAAATGTGTGTGGTTGGAACAACAGCTCTCAACCTGTGGTTAGAAGCATAGTTTGTTGTTTGTAAAACTTGCATAGACTTACATACATCATGCTTTTGACTTACATTGATCAGCACATTTTTGAAGAGTGCGCATGTGCATAAATGCGTAAGGGAACTCTGGAGTATGGCGTGAGAGGGAAGCTGCAATGAATCAAACATCAAAAAAAGCAACACGATGGGGAACAAAAATAGTGAAGTAGTCCTCAGATGCCATGTTCAATACAGCAGCATCTCAGAAAAATTATGTTGTTTAGAAATGTGCTTACTAAATAAACCATGTTATAGTGATTTAGAAAAAATGAACACCTTTCTGTTGTTCATGATAATCTGATATTAATTGCAGTCTTTAATCTATTGAGATAAGAAGTTATTACTTCACCTGTGTGTGATGTCATTAACAACAGTCCTATATTGGTGAATAAACATGGTTCAAACAACAGAAGTGCAACCATGTTAGTTTTGGAAAACAGTCATTAGTAGCTAGACTTGTTCATTTCTGTAATGATGCATTGTACAGTCGTTAAGCAGCGAGTTATTGTCTTTGTAGGGCAAACACACCCCAGAGCAGCCCATGCACGGGAAAGAGCCACTCAGTTTTTCTCAAGGAAATGTAAAGAAAACTGACCTTTTTTGCCCACAAATCCTTGCCAAGCAGGATGTATATGTGCTAATGTGAGTGCTGACATTAACTTTTTATTCAAATCTGCTGCAGATTTTGGCTTTGGAAACTTCTTCCGTCCTGGGGAACCCCTGACCACTTGGTGTGGGAGCCCCCCGTATGCAGCTCCAGAGGTGTTTGAGGGACAACAGTATGAGGGTCCGCAACTGGACATCTGGGTAAGCTTGGACTATATCAGATGGCAATATTATAGTAATATTTTATAGATACCATACTACTTGTATTGTGCTAGTACAATACTATTTTTAAATACCATTTTCATGTACAATGGTATTTACATTGTTACAGTAAATACAGATAGATAGATAGATAGATAGATATTAACATTACCCACTTGTAATATACCCTCTCATGTAATATTATACACCAAATCTCTGATTTTATTATTTTGTCACAAAATCTAACTATATTATCTGCATACATACAGTATATAGCATATAAGTTTATAGCGCATCTTAACTGATTGATTGCTTGTATCGTTGTCAAATGTAAACTATATTATTGTCCAGCTCATGAAGATAATAGGATATTATGAACATTAACATCACGATTTTCTGTGAAGCTGCTTTGCAACAATGTGTATTCTGAAAAGCGTTATACAGATAAATTGACTTGATATGATTCTCCAAAGAATAGCATGGAATTATAGTGGTACATGTCCACAAAACCATGGTATTACAATGAAACTATGTTCACAAAAGCATGATATGACCTCATGGCATTAAACTAATATGTACTGTAGGCAGCTGATCAAATTCTTGCCATTTGTTGATTCATGTCCTCTCAGTATAGTCAGAAAAGAGAATTGCGTCAATGACGAATGGTAATTCGATTGATTGAAAACATAATTATCATTTCCTGTATTGTGTGTGGGTGGTCCTTTATGCTAGTTCCTAGGCAGAGTTTGATGTTTATGTATTGATTTTCTGTGTATGTGTGTGTCATGCAGAGTATGGGGGTGGTTTTGTACGTGTTAGTGTGTGGTGCTCTTCCATTCGATGGTCCTAGCCTTCCTGTCCTCAGACAGAGGGTCCTGGAGGGCCGTTTCCGCATCCCCTACTTCATGAGTGAGGGTGAGGAAGTCAAAGTAACACAATTATAATACGACTGTTCATGCATCCTCTTTCTGTTGTTATGAATAAACAGTGAACAGTGCCAGGGGTTACATGTATGTAATCAGATTTTGAGAAATAGTGATAATAGTTACTCTGTGAAGTTTCAGAAGGAAATGTCTTTTGAGCTCATTGCATTCCCTATATCCTCTTTCAGACTGCGAGCACCTGATCAGGAAGATGTTGGTTCTAGATCCAGCCAAGCGTTTGTCCCTGAGTCAGATCAAAGAGCATCGCTGGATGGTGCAGGAGGTCCCGTCCCAGCGGCCCGTGCTATATAGACGGGGTCTGCCATGTGAGAGCAAATCAGGCTTGGGTGAATACAGTGAGCAGGTGCTCCGACTCATGCACAGCCTGGGCATCGACCAGCAGAAGACTATTGAGGTCAGTTGATCAGCTTTTATTTGACCAGGATTTAGAATGTGCTTAAATTCCAGTTCAGTTCTTGCATCTAAACTGAATTTGAATTAAGGTTGCAAACAGAATGTAGAACTGTAATTAAAATTAGAATGTAAGCAAGTTTGTGTGTGTGTGTGTGTATATATATAGCTATATATACAAACACTAATTACGCTAATACACACTCTATTCTTTTTCTATTCTATCTACTTATTTTATTTTTATTATAAAAATGACCTTCTAACACTAGCATTCTCACTTGTTTTTTTTTTATTATAAAAAAAACCTTGCTACATATACTGCATTAGACAAACAGAATTGTCACAGCACTTACATATTATTGCTCTTTTTTTGGTTTTGATTGCTTTTGTTGTCCTCATTTGTAAGTCACTTTGGATAAAAGCGTCTGCTAAATGACTAAATGTAAAGCTATATGTATATGTTTTAAGTGTTATTTTGGACAGTATTTACACCTTTTTGTAAAAAAAAAAAAAAAAGAGAGAGAGAGCAATAAGCAATAAACAAGGCAATAAACATTTATAATTAGTCCAAAACAATAGTATTGCTATTTATGTTTTGTCACAAAACTTGTGTTAATCACACTCATGAGCCAGTTCTTCAATTCCGAACTCTAGTAATGGTTTGGGCTTTGGATTTCCAAAAATAATTTCTCCTCTGATTTGCAAATTCGATTATTCCAAAGAACAGCCTTTCAGAATATTTTCAAAACGTACTGATAGAAATGTGAAATTTGCCAGTGTTCTCTTTCCTTGTCTGCCTTGTTCTTCAAAAACTCTTCTTTTCCTGTCACAGTCTCTTCAGAACAAAAGCTATAACCACTTTGCTGCGATCTACTACCTGCTTGTGGAGCGGTTGAAAGCGCATCGCAGCAGTTTCCCTGTGGAACAGCGTTTGCACGCCAACCAGCGCCGCCCTAGCACCGTCGCTGAGCAGACTGTTGTCAAGGTAACCCCATCTGTGAAGTCTACCCAGACATATTGAAATGGCGTTGATATAAAAATGTAAATATTGGAATCATGAGGAACAAAATCTGTAATCCAGCCATCCTTCTTTCAGTTTAACCTCTGCGACCATAAACCACAGAAACAGGCTTTTGAGACCTTTCATGATCCTTTTTTATGGATTCATCAGCATATTCATGCAGTATCAGATGGGTAATACCATGGGACATGACTGTGACTATATGAACTTGGAAAAACAGTTACATTGTACCAAGGTACAACCAAGACAGCTGCAATTCCATGATATTACCATTGGACTTATTGGTATATGCCTTCATGTTCTTGTTACAGACCATCGCGGTTCCTTCTCAAGCGGGCGTCCCGCCGCAGGCAGCGCGTCACCTGCGTTCGCCTGTTCTGTTGCAGTCCACTACAGACACATTTACCTTCCCACAAACCCCTGTTTTCCCAGATCAGACGCTCATGGAGGAAGACGTGGCCACTCCCAAGGTCAGTTATGTTTCAGATGAAGTGAGCGGCAAAACAAAGAGCAAAAAAAGGTTATTAGATTCGTATGGCACAGAGAGAAATCTCTCATCCTCTTTTCGGGCTTGAGGCTATATTTCATAAGCTCTGCCTGCATTTTAAATAGCAGCGTTACTCATTGGCGCTGCTGTATGACGGCAATAAGAGCTTTTGTCTGCAGCGTGTGAAGTTCCTCTGCCTGCGTGTCAGCTTGATCTCTTCCTCATTACTCACCCGCAGTATCTCAGCAGCACTTCAGCCTCCTAAAATAACACCTGCGTATATATTAAATACTAAAAAACGCTTTTTATGATTTCAGTGCTTGGTGTCACCATTGGTGCTTTGCGTCAGTGTAGGTATCTCAAGCACTTATTGCTACTCATTCATAAATGAATGACTCAGACAGAGACTAGGGAATTTATATATCTGAGACTGGGCGATATGACTGCATTACACCGGGAATATGTCAACCAGCAGAGATTTTGCTGCACCATGGTAGTGGTAGCTAGTTTGTGTGGCTGTCAGAGTGCTTTGTACTTATGAGCAATGGAGAAATGTGAAAATATAGAGAGGGATGTCGTTTATGGGGCTTTTAGTCCATGTCTAGTAATTTTGAGGTCACCTACATCCTAGTGTACTTTTTTGATGAACTGTGTTGCATTACACAGATATTTGTCCAATCAAATTCTCTCTAGAATGAGAATGTCCCTCCTCCTAATATCAGCTGATACAATGTAGCTGTCACGGGTGCACACACACGAGGGACGAGGAGACGCTGGAGAATACTTTACACAAGACTTTATTCGTAGGAAGGAACCAAGGGAGACGAACTCAGGAAGACGTATACAGGAAGACCTTCACAGGAAGACGTACAACAGCGGACAGAGAACTTGGGACTGGGAACACTTTTTATACATACACACAGGAGGAGGGGATGACGAGACACACCTGGGAGCAATGACACATCATGGGAAACACCTGGGACAAATGAACTTAAATCAGGACAGGAACCAAACCAAATATGGGCATGGGAAGGCACATGGGGAGCAGGACACACACAACACATGGAACAGAGTCTGACAGTAGCAAATCAACCTTTATGGCTTTGACGTAACAAAGCCTGTTGGCTTTTTTATAATATCTCTTAATTATATTTTAATTCATTGATTTAGTTATTAATACATTATTAATTTTAATATAATATAATATAATGTAATTTTTCGTTTTGTTTTTAAGTCATAATGGGATGTTGTTATTGCACAAATGTCAGACTTTTTTGTATAATCACCTTTTTTGTTCCAAAAAACTGCATTGTTTAAAATTATTATATAGTATCATTATTGTTGTTATTAGTGATTATTTCATATATTTAGTCATTTCATATATATTCATATATAAGCTATTAATAATAGTAATAATAATATAAACTACTATTATAAACAATTTTTAATCAGAGATGAAGCACTTGTCTTTTAAAAACACATTTTCACTGCATTGTCTGAAATATTACTATTATCTAACTATTGTTATTATGATTATTCAAGATATAAACTATTTTAATTAAATGAGAGAAAGTGCTTGTCTTTAAAATATATTCACTGCATTGTCCAAAATATTTTTATAAATTTTTATCAAAATATAAACCATTTTTCAACAAATTTCCAGCAAAATTAACTATTATGCCATATACACATACCATGATATAAAAGATTGATCATGCTGCTCACCCTTGTTGATCATAGGGAAACATATAACCTGCAAATGCACGTCCTGTTATTTGCAGCCTGTTGTTACAGTAACAACAGCATGTCAGGTTTTCTGCCTGCTGTTGCACAACAGCACGGCTCTGTTTGTAAATGCCCCTGATGGGCCAGTGATGGGCCACCCATGTGATCAGTGCTGGGTGTTCTCTCCACTTGTGAAAAGCGTGACTACAACATTTGTTACCTTGGCTGTCGCAAGGCAATCTCCATAGCTACTGTTCTTTAATTGACATGCAGCGTTGACTCATCCTGTGGGGACTCTGCCGTATACATACCAATTTGCCCTCCAACAGGTCTTTTTTCTGTTCAGTTGGTGCTTGCAATACCAAGGTCAAGAGCTTAATTCCAAGGGAACAAACACACTTATAAAAGTAGTCCTTAAATGGACTGTGAGTTGTTGTTAAACTGTCTGCCAAATGAATAGATGTAAATGTTTGTTTATGAAGAAAGGGACGCGTGATAAGGCATTCATTTAGCCTCAGCGCCTGTGGAGCTGAACAGATGGCAATCTAGGGATCTCTTCAAACACGTTGAGGTCACGCTCTCACAAACTTATATCAGCTGGCTTATTGTAATTCAGGAAAGCTGCTGGTTGCCTGTGGACATTTAGCAGAGCAACATTACATAATTTCTCATAAATGAAACCGATGACATTGTCTACACTCTTAAAAACAAAGGTTACAAAAAGGTGTTTTTGCAGTGATGCCTTTGGGAAAAAAAAATAACATTTTGGTTCCCAAAACAACCTTTTAGAGAACAGTTCTTAAAAGAAGCATGTTTTTTTTGTACTGTACTGTACAGTACATTTAAGAACAAATAATCTAAAAGATTCTTTTGTGCACTGGAAAGTTTCCACGGATGTTAACGGTTCTTCATGCCAATGAAACACTTTTATTGTATTAGAATGTAACAGAAAAGAGTACCAATGTTATATGAACAAAAGAGAAGGTAGAATAGAATTACTGATATATATTTGCTCTACAAATATATTGTGTTTCTGTCATGATCACTCTCTGCGAGTTTAGCATGGTAGTATACATGGCAATGTTAATGTGTTTGGTCTTGGCAAAACAGATGTGCTATGCTGCTGCTGCGGCAGAGCAAGTACCGAGACTTGCTACTGCCAATACCTCTACAGACATGCTGCTGTGAGCTAGTAGGAAATACTGCTGCTGCACATAAAACATGAAATAACATCATATGAAATAACCCCCATATATAACAAACATGAATTACCCCATAGCAGATCTATACAGGTGGAGCTGGGGAAGGTGTAGGTTTCTGAAGCATGCTGCAGCTGCTACAGCAAGCACTAGCCAAGTATTTGAATGTTGACCAGCAAGCTCATTGGCTGCTGATGTGAAAAGAAACCAATCAGCTGCGACATGTGAATAGTGATGTGATTATATCAAACTGAGTTAGACAAGTTCACAATAAGATTTATAACTTGCATTTCATGTCAACCTTAAATTGTTATTTACTGATAAACTTTACTATTATATATATATATATAGGATAATAACTAGTAGTTAAATCCATTGAGTTTCGGCTTTGATTTCCCTTGTCAGTTCTGGAAACAGCAAAGTGAAAATGTCCCAACGACTGCTGAGCTGTTTCAGCCCAAAATAGTTTTGCAAACAGTGTGTGTGTGTATTTATATCTCAGGTGGATGGCTGCTTACTGGACCCGCTTCCTCCAGTCGTTGTCCGCAAAGTCAGTGGCTCGCTGCCTAGCAACATTATGGAGACGTCCATTGATGAGGGCATTGAGGCGGAGGAAGAGCATGCTGTGCCCCTCGCTGCCTTTCATACAGCTCGCTTCAGTCAGCGCCGGCATACACTGTCTGAGGTCACCAACCAACCTGCTGTGCTGCCCATTACAGGTTAGTACTGCATTTCATGTGTGTGATGAGGGCAGGCAATTATAGTCTTTAAGAGGCTTCAATATTAATATATAGTGTCTTAATGATATATTACCATTTAAAGTTTGAGGTCTGTAAGATTTTTGAATTTCTTTGAAAGTCTGTTATGCTCACCAAGACTGCATTTATTTGATCAATATACAGAATCAAAAATTTGTTAAAAATACAGTAAATACTGTAAAATTAATTCAATTCAAAATAACTATTTTATTATATATTATAAAATGTGATTTATTCCTTTGATTGCAAAGCTGAATTTTTAGTCTCCGGTCTTCAGTGTCACATGATCGTTCAGAAATCATTGTAATATGCTGATTTGCTGCTCAAGAAACATTTCTTATTGTTATCAGTTAAAACAATTGTGCTGTATATTTTTTTGTGCAAAAACTATTCTTTGGATTCTCTGATAAATAGAAGGTTCAGAATAACAGTATTTGTTTGAAATAGAACATTCAAATAAAAATTTAAATCTATTAAATTTCCATTTCTGTTTAAAATTAAAATAAAAACAATATGCAGTATAAATGGATTCAAACACATGATCATCTGTATTTATATTTTTTGTGAGGAATATTTCACAACTTGGCATCCTAGCTAAACTGCTTACAGTAATTTTTCCCACTGACATTAACAGCCAGCTTTTTTTTAGTAGACAGTTTGTGACTTTGATTTGGTCAAGTTCATTTATAAAGCACATTTCCTTAACAATGGGAATTCAAAGTGCTTTACATAATAAAGAGAATAAAATCAGACAAAAGTGCATTGCTAAAATATAAATATATAAATAAAATATATTTATGTCCTAAAGACATAAAAATGAAAAAAGAAAGAAAAAGATATAGAAGCTTAATTCATACATTGATTAAAAACAAGTGTAGTCAGTACGGCAAGGTGCATATTCAGAGAATTTTGTTTGTTTATGTCTGGACTAGAATGTGTTCAGCATGGCTTGGATTAATGTTTTACATTGTAAGGTAAACCATGCATAATGTTGCAGTTCTGAAAGTTCTCGGTTAGTAAGATTTATGTATTCACCCAACTCAGTTTTAACTTCCATTTGAGTTTTGGTGTTAGTTTTTGGACACTGTGTAATAAATATGGTTACATCCATATTCTTGAGTGAACTTCAGTTCAACAAAAGCTCCTCTCTGCAGGTCTGAACCCATCCCTCGGCAGCATGGACTCAGAGTACAGCATGGGTTCGACTCAAAGTGATTTCAGTTTGCCTGAAGAGAATCCAGCTCTAAAGGATGTATTAAGCACTACACCTGCCGGCCACACAGCTCCAGTCTTCCTGGGCATGAAGCCCCCTGAGCCCACCCTTCAGCCGCTCAACACGGAGGGGCAGAGCGCTCATAATCACTCACTAGTCAGTTTCAGAGAGGGGCGAAGGGCTTCAGACACGTCTCTCACTCAAGGTCAGGATGATTTGAGTTTTCTTGTACACATCATTTGTTATTTTTGTTTTTCATCAATCACTTTTCTCTCAAACTTTGTGTCGGGGTGGCAGCTAGCTATAGGCAGAGCAGACGATTGCCTAGGGCCTCGGGCTTTGAGGAGGGTCCTCCATATCCGTAGCATCCCCTATATGCTAGTCCACCAGTCAAGACAGGCAGCAAATTCTAGCCTCATTATTCATTGGATATATAGTTGAATTGTCACTCATCTGCAATTAAACCAATTAATTTTGCGGTTTCAAAGCGGGTCCCGCCTTCTGAATGTTTGCGTAACGAACGCATCTTTCAGGTGCTGTGAACTATGCGATGCAAACGGCTAAATAGGCATGCAAAGAAGTACAGCTCCTAATGCAGGTGTGTGAGTTGTCGTCATCTAATTTTGATTTCTATTTTATTTGCACTGGCTACCAAAAAAAAAACACTAGCTATTTTTTCTATTCTATCTACTTGTTTTCATTTGTGTGTGTGTGTGTATATGTGTGTGTGTATAATATATATATATACACACATACATACACACACCTTGCTACGTGTACTGCATTAGGCTAACCCAGACTTGTCATTTGCACTTATATATTGTTGCTCTTTTGTTAGTTTTGACTGCTTTTATTGTCCTCATTTGTAAGTCGCTTTGGATAAAAGCGTCTGCTAAATTACTAAATGTAAATGTCATCTATTTTAGAGTGATTGCAATTTATTCTAAATATGAACTTGTTCTGTCGATCAGCGTCATTTCTGGAAAGATCATTCACCGCTTTATTACGAGTTTAAAAAAGCGTGAGCACCGTTGATGCGCCCAGACGCGACGCTTTGAATTTGCGCGTACAGTGAATGACATCGTGTCGGGAGCTGACTAGCAAAATAGCTACAAAAGTAAAAGCAGATAAGTTTGTATTCAAAGTTAAAAAGCAAACACACTAGAACTTTTTTTTTTAATGTTTCAAATAAAGGATCTCAGATGTGTACATTACTGCTCTAACATAACACTTATAATTTCAGTTTCAACTAACTAGAAAATAACTTTTTTTCTGCTTAATAGTCTCTCTTCCACTTGATTTGTGTGTGTGCGTGTGCGTGTGTGTGTGTGTATCATATTGAAGGTAACAATGCAATACATAATATCATATATTATTGATATTAATAATATGACAATATCTGTAGTGAATATTGATTAAAATGGAGGGGGAAATCCTGCCCATACCCAACAACAATAACATCTTCATCAAACAAAAAAAGAGATTACCTTAGATAAAGTTTGATTAATATGTACATACAGTACCAGTCAAAAGTTTGGACCCATTGCTATTTTTAATATTAATATTCAGCAAGGATGTGTTAAATAGACAAAAAGTGATAGTAAAGACATATTGTTATACAATATACAAAAAAATTATAAAAGATAATCAACAAATCCTGAAAAAAGTATCACAGGTTATAAAATACAATAACATCTTCATCAAACAAAAAAGAGATTACCTTAGATAAAGTTTGATTAATATGTACATACAGTACCAGTCAAAAGTTTGGACCCATTGCTATTTTTAATATTAATATTCAGCAAGGATGTGTTAAATAGACAAAAAGTGATAGTAAAGACATATTGTTATACAATATACAAAAAAATTATAAAAGATAATCAACAAATCCTGAAAAAAGTATCACAGGTTATAAAATAAACATTAAGCACTGTTTCTAACATTGATAATAAATCAGCATATTAGAATGATTTATGTAGGATCATGTGACACTTAAGACTGGAGTTATGGCTTATGAAAATTCATCTTTGATCACAGAAATATATTTTAAAGTATAGTAAAATAGAAAACCATTATTTTAAATTGTAATAATATTTCACAATATTATTGTTTTTTTCTGTATTTTTGATCAAATAAATCCAGGCTTGATGAGCATAAGAGACTATTCAAAAACATTAAAAATAGTAATGTGTCCAAACGTTTGTACTGTATAAGTAAAAATATGCAAAATTTAAAATGAAATGCTGTATAAACAAAAAGGTTAGGGATCATATTTGTTTCAAGTGCTTTTTATTGGGGGTGGGGGGCCTCCAACATTAATTTTGCCTAGGGCCTCCTGATGTTTAGAACCGGCCCTGCGGGGTGGGCACACTACATTTCTGCATGCAAAATTACTTTGAACTCACCCTCACATTGTTCCAAACCTGTATGAGTTTCTGTCTTATGTTCAGCACAAAAGAAGATATTTTAAAGAATGCTGGTAACTAAACAGTAGCCATGGACTTCCATAGTATGGAAAAAATACTCTGGAAGCCAATGGCTACCGTCAAATGTTTGGTTACCAACATTCTTTAAAATATCTTTTGTGTCCAACAGAGAAAAGAAACTCATACAGGTTTGGAACAACTTCGAACAAATTAACGTGTTAAATTGACAGCCCTAGTTTAAATACATGACAAGTTTTTAGTGTATTTTAGTTTACCATAAATGCTTCTCAGTACAGTACATTCAACAGCACACTTTAACCATATAGAGACAATAGAAGTAATCAGGGTTTGAAATTAACACCCGCCAACCCGCCAAATGCGGGTAAAAATCAGCTGTGGCGGGGAACGCTGTCAAATCACTAGCCAATTTGGCGGGTTACTTTTCGTAAATTATGTTTACTAATTAATTTCTTGAGGAAGTTCATGTAAGCCAAATCTGCGCAGATTTAGTGTAAATACTGAACTCGAGACTCATCGTGATATATTAAATAAGCCTAATTGCGCAGCATCTGGGCATATCTAGCTTACTTGAACATACCCAGCGATGTAGCTACCATCGGGAGCACCGGGACATTCCCGGTGGGTCGATCGCCGAAGCGAGGGAGACCTCATATTAGGCGCTGTTTTTAAATTACAGCCCACGCGAAACTGCAAAAAGCAAGTACTCCAAAAGTGTGAAGCGACGCTACCCGGTGCGTCCGCCAGCCGCGCGTTAAAGCAGAGCGGGATCAGTCTCCCGCACAGCGCTGCGCTTCCGCCACGATTTATAAGAGATAAACAGCACAAATCGCTCGATCCATTCAGAAATGACACAGAATTGTGTTACACAGTTGTGTGATATGACAACATTAAAGGTTCTGCCTGAAAACAGCCACGACAAGGTAAAATGCATGTAAACAAACTGCAATGTAAACAAACTTTAATAGCTTATTTATCTTTAAATGTTTCATTCTAATTAATTTTAATTTAAGTAAAATGTTAATTCAGTAAGAGCCTGATTAAAGATAAAAACCAATGTCTCTGTAATTTAGAGACACTTATAAATGAGGTGTTTTCCATTTACAAATAGTATAAAGTTCTTAAAGGGATAGTTCACCCAAAAATTAAAACTGTCATCATTTAGGCTACTCAGCATCATGTCATTCCAAACCTGTATGAATTTCTTTCTTCTGTGGAACATAAAAGAAGATATTTTGAGAAATTCAAGAAATGTTTGTCCATACAGTAGAAATCAAGAGTAACCAAAATGGTTTGGTAACATTCTACAAAATATCTTTTGTGTTTTACAGAAGAAAGTAAGTCATACAGGTTTGGAAAGACATGAGGGTGAGGAAAGGATGACAGCATTTATTAGCAGTAAATTTCCTATGTTCTAGCACAAAATCAATGCTTATACTGTCAAGTGCATTTCTATGTGACAAAAATGCAGTAGGCTATTAGTTTGTTGCATTTGCTGTGAATTCAGTAATATATCATTATTTGTTTTTGTCCTCATTTATTTATTTATTTACTTACTCCAATTGAAGGCCCTATAACACAGCGAAACATTCACAGGGGACCTTGAGGGCCGGGTAGGCTGGATTTGTCCAGGGACGAATTTTAACCCCAGTCCAGCCCTGTACCCGTCACTATGCAACAAATAATGGCGTGGCAGGCGCACTGGTTTCCTTTGCATTGAAGCAATAACAAAAAGTCAAAAAATGCCTGAAGACTCGCACCGTGTCTACACCAGCTGCTACAAAATACTATAGAACCCATTCAGATCGGTGATGCGGCCTACACTGGATGTGGCACAGCACAGCACGACAAATCCCCGACAGTAAACTGATGCCTCGTTCTATTTATGACGTAGGCCTACTGTTTGACAAAGTACAAATGATTTGCAATGGTCACTTTGTCGCATCCAGTGTGGACAGCCTTAAGCTGTTGGCTTACCTCTGGCCTTTTTTTCATAATTTATTTGTTTAATTTTTTTGGCTAGTAGAAATTATGAATGGCCGGTAGCTTAAAAATTTAGTAGCCAAATTGGCTGGTGAGTGAAAAAGTTAATTTCAAACCCTGGAAGTAATTATGAAATTATATTTAAATATATTTTAAGTCCTACTTTTGTCCTGTGGCTGCAGTCGCATCATCCAGATGGATGCTGCACACTGGTGGTGGTTGAGGAGAGACTCCCTCATGATTGTAAAGCGATTTGGGTGTACAGCAATACACAATAAAGCGCTATATAAATGCATAAAAAAAAACTTCAAAAGTTAAAAAAAACACTCTTAAGTTTAATTTATTGCATTTCATATAAAATTTTAACTATAATTAATATTTAATTAAATTTCAGTTAACATGTTTAATGTCCAAAAACATTACATTTAGTTCGCACTTAAGTATATCCTTTTAAAGTATATTATTTCCATGATAAGTTCTCTTTTTTTTTAAGTATTCTAAATTATACTTCTTTTTTGAAGTAAAGTAACACATTGGAGTATGGTTAATATGAAAATACTGTTTAAGTATTTATTCTTAAAAAATCATATTTAATTCAATGTGTAATCGTACATTTTTAGTGAACCTTTTTTGTACCAATTTCTTTGGCAAAAAGTGACATGTACAGTTATTACACGGAGGTTATTCTGTTAAATGCAGACCGTGTATTAGTCAAATGTCTTTTCACTATAGAAATGTATTAGGTGTGTATTATTTTCTAATTATTAAATGGACTGGAGTCAATTATTCTGCTTGTACTATCGTTACCACACAT